AAGTATACAAAGGCATATCATTAGTATCAATGGGAGCACTCTTGCTAGCAATAAATTTCATAAGTTCATTAATCTTTCCACTCAAAGTATTAATTTCTTCAATATCATGCACTTTTACTAGTAGAGGATCTTTCGGTATGCCATTGAGAGTAATTTGCCATGATATTATCTAGGAGTTTAGTAGCTTCTCCTAATGTGATTTCCAAAAAAGTACCACCCGCATCGAAATCTAAAAGATTTTTAGATGCAAAATTCAATCCAGCATATTTTTTTTGTATGATCACCCATAAAATTAAACCATGAGTAGGGCAATTTCTTACCATTAATTTCATCCTCTCCCATGAGTGTAACATGTTCATGATCAAGTTGCTTAAAATTCATTATATCGTTCCTAAGAGAGACTATCTTAGCAGGAGGAAAAAAACTTGGAAATAAAGTATCCTTACACTTATTCCATGAATCAATACTATCTTTAGGCAAGGATGAAAACCAAGTTTTAGCACGATCTCGTAGTGAGAACGGAAATAGCTTCAATTTAACAATATGATTATCCACATCTTTTTTTTGCATATCACACAATTCAACGAAATTATTAAGATGGGATGCAACATCTTTGTTAGGACTATCAGAAAATTGTTCTTTTATAACAAGATTCAACAAAGCGGCATTAATTTCATAAGATTCTGCACTAGTGGCGGGGGCAATGGGAGTACTAATAAAATCATCATTATTAGTGTTGTAAAAATCACACAACTTAGTATTTTGTTGAGGCATCGTGACAGAGCAAGCAATCTAGCACAGAAGCAGACAAAAAGCAAACGAAAAAGCAAACAAAAAGAAGGCAAATATGTTTGTATTTTTCTGAAAACATTTTAGAAGTAGGGGAGAGGAAAACAAGAGGCAAATGACAAATAATGTAAATGCAAGAGATGAGAGTTTATGATGGGTACTTGGTAGGCTTGATGTAGACCCTCCCCGGCAATGGTGCTAGAATTCTTCCTACTACTTCTTGAGCTTGCATTTGTTTTCCCCTTGAAGAGGAAAGGGTGATGCAACAAAGTAGAGATAAGTATTTTCCTCAGTTGAGAACCAAGGTATCAATCCAGTAGGAGGAACACATAAGTCACCAATGATTGCACCTACACAAACAAATGAATACTTGCACCCAACGCGACAAAGGGATTGTCAATCCCTTTACGGTTACTTGCAAGGATGAGATCTGATATGATAGTTATAAAATATAAGTAAAAGTGCAAATAAGATAAAGGTAAATAAATTGCAACAAGCTATTTTTGGGTTTTTGGTTTTATAGATCTGAAAATAATATGGTAAAAGATAGACTCGGGGCCATAGTTTTCACTAGAGGCTTCTCTCTTGAAAGAAATCATATGGTGGGAAAGCAAATTACTATTGAGCAATTTATAGAAAAGCAAATAATTATGACAACATCTGAGGCAATAATCATGTACATAGGCATCACGTCTGTGGCAAGTAGACCGACTCCTGCCTGCATCTACTACTATTACTCCACACATCGACAACTATCCAGCATGCATCTAGTGTATTAAGTTAACAAGAATGGAGTAACACCTTAAGGAAGATGACATGCTGTAGAGGAATAGATCCAATCAATATGAACAAAACCCATCTTTTTTATCCTTTGTGGCAACAATACAAATACGTGTCATGTCCCCTTCTGTCACTGGGAATAAGCACCGAAAGATCGAACCCACTACAAAGCACCTCTCCCATTGCAGGAAAAATCAATCTAGTTGGCCAAACCAAATCAATAGATCAGAGAGAAATACAAAGTTATCTTGATCATGCATAAAAGAGTTTAGAGAAGACTCAAATAATATTCATACATAATCCGATCATAAACCCACAATTCATAGGATCTCAACAAACACACGCAAAAGAAGATTACATCAAATAAATCTCCAAGAACATCGAGGAGAACATTGTATTGAAGATCAAAGAGAGAGAGAGAGAGGAAGTCATCTAACTACTAGCTATGGACCCGTAGGTTAAACTACTCACACATCATCGGAAGGGTAACAAGGCTGATGTAGAAGCCCTCCATGATCGAATCCCCCTTCGGAGGAGTACCGAAAAAGGCCCCAAGATGGGATCTCACGAGGATAGAAACTTGCGGCGGCGGAAAAGTATTTTTGGTGTGCCCTCTGGTCTACGGAGAATATTTGGGTATTTATAGAAGAAGAATTAGGGCTAGAGGTGCCACAGGGGGGCCACAAGCCCAGGGGCGTGCCCTCCGAGCTTGTCGTGGCCTCGTGGCTCTCCTGGCCTCCTTCTGAAGCTTCCAGGGTGTCCAAGAAAAATCGTCAAAAAGGTTCGTTCTGTTTGGACTCCGTTTGGTATTGATTTTCTGTAAACACAAAAACAAGGAAAAAACAACAATTGGCACCGGGCACTAGGTTAATAGGTTATTCCCAAAAATGATATAAAATAGCATCATAATGCATATAAACCATCCAAGATTGATAATATAATAGCATAGAACAATAAAAAAATATAGATACGTTGAAGACGTATCAGAGCATCTTGTACCATGTGACCTCACACACCATGGCGACGACAAACGGGGGAAGAAAATAGGAAAATATGGGGCAACTAGTTTTGTTCATCGCCCCCCGACTTCAATAGGTGTTAGTAGGCTCCTTGGGCGGTGCACCGACCAACATGCCTTGAATGTGGGCAGGAAACTAGTGAGCTCTGGTGTGGTGGGTTTAGACTGTCAATCTGACGTGACAAATGCGTCCGAGCTGCCTCAAATCCTTTCCACACATGAATTGAGTTTGGGGGTGGTGACAACTTAGATATTAGACATATGAATTAGGAATGAGGCCTGGCTGAATACATTTATGGGCCTTGTCCAAACTGTTAGAGCATCTATGACCGGACCCCTCATATTGCCCCTACACGTCAGATGGCCTGGTCAGTGACCGATCACTTTTTTGCGACCCAACCGAACCTCTCAAACTAGCCCTATGCGTCCGAGCTATCCGGCACCCCCATACTCAACCCATATGTGGGGCGAATATAAGGAGGCTCGGACGCGTCCGTCACATCAGCTCTGACCCACCTTGTCCCATAAATACTCCATCTGGAGCAAACCCTAGTCAAAGTCCACACCCTCGACCACTGTGCTTCATTTCCACTTCTCGTCTCCTCCTTTCCCCTCTCCTCCACCATGTCTGGCTCCGCCAACCAATCCGACAGCGCATCCGACAGTGAGTCTGGTCCCCTCGACTGGGAAGGGTTCTTGAAGGAGGACTGAAGAAATAAAGGGTGAACTCATATATAGTGCCAAATTTGAAAATCGTGATTGTATATGCTCTTACTTGGAACAAATGGGACGGAATGAGTATCTAATTCCATTGAAGATGCTCTAACCTATCTCTTCTATACATATAGTAGTAGTACTTAAATAGCTGCTACGCGTCGACCGGTGGATCTTCTAAGAAGATCTGCCGCCTCGCGAGCCGTGGGATCTGACACAATCAAGAGGCCGAATGTCTTACTTTATTTTGCAACAGAGGTCTTGTTGCGGAAACATTTACAATGGAGGTTATGTTGTAGTTTTTTTGCAACATAGGTTATGTTGCGGGGTTTTTTTGCAACATAGATCGGGTTGCAGAATGTTTTTCCTGTCTTCACTTTTTTTGCAACAATGGTGATGTGGTGGTAGAACTTTTGCAACATATGTAATGTTGCAGAAAATTTTAAAACTGAAAATGTGCAAAAACATCGGTGTTGTTTCCTGCATCGAGCGCATCGCCGCTGGCCTCAGCAGAGCAATAGTGCCGCCGCTCCTGCTGTTTCAGAAGCACGACGGGGAGAACCACCACTGGCGACCGCCACCACCTAGCACTTATGCCGGCTACAAGAGCAGAGAGAAAGGTACCTCTCGATCCGTACAGAGGCCGGCCACAGCCGGCGGAAATCCCACCATTGTCACCGCCGCAGGAGGTCTGCCCGGGTTGCCTCGTAGGCCTACACCGCCGCCCTCCCTAGTCCCAGCTGCCGACACCCTCCATAGTCCCAGCCGTTGCAGGATCTAACTCTGGTCGGTTTGCAACAAGGGGCTAGTTGCATAACCCTTTATGAAGCAATGGACGAGTTGCAGAACGTTGACACAGAGGGGCTGGTTCCTGACCATCTGATTAATAGCCCATCCAATGAACACGGAGGTGGCGGACGCTCGCGCAGGATCGGTCAGTTGAAAAGAATTATTTTCCACTTAAATAAGGCTAGTCCCTATTTTATGTTAGACAGAGATTAATTAAGAAGAGAGTTATGACTTTGTCTTATACGGTGGTTAATTAAGAAGAGAGATTCTGATAAAGTCACCACTAGCCATATGTGGTTAAAAAACAAAGCATATTAAATGATAGATAACCCTCCATTGTTAAGAATCCTATCTTCCTGAAGAAGCCTCGGATACAATCGAAATCCAAACCCAACGCCTGCCTTGCCATGTGCGTCACTGTGTGTACTTTTGGGCAGGCTGGCGGGTGGGCGTGGAAAGCCGTCGTCAATCCTCGCCGAGCACAGGAGAAAAGGCTGCTCCAACTGGCCCTGCCACCGAGGCCGCGGTCACGTGAAGCCCCTCTTCTGCCCTTCCTCCTCTTTCCCCACTCCCCCCCAACACACCAAAATTTCCCCTTCGCTCGTCTCCGCCATGCCTTGGACTCTCCTGACCTAGCTAGCCGTGCCGTGCCCCACAACCCCTCCGCCTCTCCTGCGCGCGTCGCCGCCGTCGCCATTACCCTTCTTCCTCGTCGCGGCATCGCGTTCCTCCACCCCGTCCGCAACCTCCGCCCGTTTGTTTGGTTTGGAGGTAACTTGGAGGTATGTTTCCGTCCAGCGATTAGTTAAGGAATCCCACTGACCTCCACAATGCGAACGCGGCACGCCGTCTAGATCCGCCACTGACCCAGCCGGTTGCTCCAGCCTCCAGCCTCCGCGGGCCGCCGAAGATGGGCTTCATGGGGGCGAAGCTGTTCCCGTCGTGCGAGAGCATGTGCGTCTGCTGCCCGGCGCTGCGCCCAAGCTCGCGCCGCCCCGTCAAGCGGTACAAGAAGCTGCTCGCTGAGATATTTCCCAAGACGCCTGTAAGTGCTCGCTTCTCGCTATTGTTGGCCGGCCTGGTTGGTTGCTGCTGCGGTCGTTGGATATGCTGTGCTGTGCTGTCTTCGATCTATAAGTGGAGTAATCCACATGTTCCACAGAACATGGCCATGTCACATGGTTATCTTCTGCCACTGTGTAATTGTTTTTTGCAGAATGCAGCTTCCGCTGTTACTTGCAAAGGACACACTAATGCTCACACATACTTGATACTTCAGTATTAGGGCCGTATAGTTGCTCATAGAATAGAGTTTACCTTTGCAGGAGGGTCCCCCAAACGAGAGGAAAATCATGAAGTTATGCGAGTATGCTGCCAAGAATCCCCTGCGCATTCCAAAGGCATGTGACCTTTGCATCATGCTTTCTCACATTTCATTGCTAAAGTATTCTTTAGGGGTCTTTGGTTAATCAATATTCAGTAGGTTTCCCTTCACTGCATGCTTGTCAGATTGCCAAGTTTCTGGAACAGAGGAGTCGCAAGGAACTGCGTGCTGCTCATTTGAACTATGTCAAGATAATCACTGAAGCATACAGCAAGCTACTCTTCATTTGTAAGGAGCAGATGTAAGTTTCTGAAACTCTTGGCTGCCACTCACTTTTTCTATTCGAAAATGTTAATGGTTTCCGATGAAGCTTCGTGGCTAAAAAGTTATGTTACTGTGTGCATGTGATGGTATAGGGCATATTTTGCCATCAGCCTGGTGAACGTCCTTACCGACCTTCTGGAAAGCAAGCAGGAGAACATTCATATCCTTGGATGTCAAACTTTAGCAAGGTTTATTTACAGCCAGGTGGGGCATTATGATGGATCAGACATGCTTAGAGTTATAAACATTGCATTTCGATCTGTTCCTCCTAATCATGAAAGGCTACTACTCGAGTCACTTTATTTTCTTTAGTTATGTATGACATTCACTATGTTGTCACATTCACAGGTAGACAACACATATGCACGAAATATTGAGAGCTTGGTCCACAAAGTGTGCACACTTTCACGGCAACAGGGAGTGGAGCATAGTCTTCTGCGGGCAGCAAGCCTACAGTGTCTCTCAGCAATGGTAAATGTGGCTTTGCAGCTCTCTTTCTTCATTTCTGTTATCTTCTTCACATTTCCAGGTAATTTGTTTGAATGTCCAGTTCAGTTAACTATTGTAATACTCGTGCAGATCTGGTTTATGAAGGAACATTCGTACATATTTGCTGATTTTGATGAGGTAACTACAATCAGTTCTTTTAGTTGCATTGCTTCATTGATCATTACTTGCGGCTGTGGAGAATCAAAGGAGACTAAGCTTGTTTCTTGGACAGTAGAGTTCCAAATCGCTCAACCTGGTTGCTTGCTTAGTTGCTCGTTTGGACCAGGTTATTACCAATAGAATGCTTGTGTGGTCATAAAGAACACCATTATTTATCTTGTCTTCTGCAGACTGCAAATGTTGTTGACTTATCCAGTTTTTTAATGATTTCTGTTTCGACTTCTAGTAAAATGGTTATATCATGGCACATAAGAATTCCGTTATGGTTTCTCTATTTCTTTCGGGGAGTTTACACTTTGTGTACTGTTTTGTTGATAAGCTCTTGAAGAACTTTTGTTTCTCAAGTTTAATGCAATGATGTATGTTCTCTCTTTGACGTGACAGATGGTGCAGTCGGTCTTGGAAAATTACAGGATGGATGGAACTGCTGGTGGTGATGATGACAGGCATGCATCACAGCATAACTGGGTTGATGAAATAGTCAGGCGTGAGGGAAGAGCTGGTTTAGGTGGAGGTAATGATGTAAATTTCTGTGGTGCAACAACTACTAGACTGCGATCAACAAGAGACTCTTCAGCACTGACCAGGTGAAGTGTCATTCTCATTTATATATACTCGCTATAGCACTTTTTCTTTTCCCTAAATTTTGTGCAGAAAAAAAATGCATGCTGTTGCATATCATACACACTTTTACTGCATTGCAACCTTTCAGTTCATTTTAGTTCTGTATGGTGTCTAGCAATAGTGTATGTCATTCCTTTTCATACTTTGAAGGGTACATACATGCTAGAAGCCTATAACTGAGGTTCAGATACGACACTTAAAAGTGTAGGTGTCTTTCAACTTCTATTGACAACTTATTTGTGTGGCTAATGTGACCTTGCTATCAAGTACATGCACATTGCACTGGAGATGCAGAAAAAGAGCACGAAAATATGGAAGGAAATTTCCTTTTGAAGCATAGCAGATTATAATATAAATAAGTCAAGTATGTTTTTTCACTGGTTAATCCATCAATCAAGGGATGAATGGGAAGGCCTTGAGAATGACCGTCCAACCTATATTTTGTGACATGTTTGATGCTGCTTCTTTTTAATATTCGAGCTCAGATGAACCCAACATATTATGATTCATTTGAATGACTATGCAGGGAGGAGCGTGAATCTCCAGAAGTATGGTCCCATATTTGTGTTCAGAAGCTTGCAGAACTGGCCAAAGAGAGTACAACTATGCGGCGCATCCTTGATCCAATGCTTTCTTACTTTGATATGAAGAAACAGTGGGCTCCTAGGCATGGATTAGCTTTGCTTGTCTTGTCTGATATGTCTTATCTAGAGAAGAGTTCAGGTAAATTTTTGTTCCCAAGAAGATTTTGAATTTTGAACTATCAAAATAGTAAAAATACGTAGGTCATGTTATGCTATATATGAGCTTTGTATTTATTCTTCTAATTACATGGCATGCTATGAAGATCCTTGTCTTTCTAGTAATAGAGAAAGTGTCGACAATTTTCTTGCTGCTCCATACTTCCAATCTATTTAGTTATCTTTGAGCAAACACTTTGTTTGGCGTTTTCAATTCTTGAATGCATTATAAGTCTTCTTATATTGCTGTGATTGCTCGTTTCTGGGTTGATCGTGACCCATTTTCTGACGGAATACATTTGCAGTCCACAGTGCACTTTCCTTTCCTGTTTGCAACATATTTAAGGGGTTTCCTTGTCTGCTGAAGTGCTAATACATTTGTTTCTCATAGGCAACGAACAATTGATTTTGACTGTTGTCATCCGTCATCTGGACCACAAGAATATTTTGCATTGTCCTCAGACTAAATCTGATATTATTCAGACAGCAACATCTTTGGCACGACAGCTGCGATCACGAGGAGTTGCTCCTGAACTTGCAGTGGCAGGTGACTTGTGCAGGCACTTGAGGAAAACGCTAGAGGCCATGGAGTCAGCCAGTGTTGAAGAGCTGAGCTTGAATGAGTCTCTTCAAAATTTCCTGGAGGGCTGTCTTGTTGAAGTCGTAAGAGGAGTATGTCCCACACTATTCCAGTTACACGCTAACATTTGTTAACTGCCATGGATGTTTTTAGTGCATCTTTCTTAGAAATTTGCAACTGCGAGAGCTTTGACGCTAAAGAGTTACACTAGTATATAGTTTTATACATACATTTCCTTCACTTTTGTTAATTTTTTGGAACTTCTTATAGGTTAAAGATGTGCGGCCACTTTATGACATGATGGCAATTACATTGGAGAATTTGCCTTCTATTCCTGCTGTTGCTAGAGCAACTATTGGAAGTTTGCTGATACTTTGCCACATAATCTCTTTGACATCAGTATCTTCGGACGCTCCTATGGTCAGTTCTGAATTTATACTATGCACTCATCAAATATTTTCTAAATTAAGAAAGAGTGATGTGATGAAGTTCAGAAACTGTATATTCTCTTCTTCACATCAAATAATTTATTGCACTGCATGCTGTTCATCGTTGGCAGAATTCTACTCCGTGATCAGTTGGCTACTTCTGCCATTCTTTGCTTAGTTTTTAATCTAACTCTTCTTAGCAGGTGTTTCCGGAAGCACTCCTCCAGCAGATATTGAGATCCATGGTACATCCAGATGCAGACACTCGTGTGGGGGCGCACCACATATTTTCTGCTGTAATTGTCCGAGGCCCAAGCCATCAGAGGGGTGATTCAGAGTACCTATTTGCAACAAAGAAGTGTCAATCTCGATCACCATCAGTGTTTGCTTCAGCTACTGCTCTACTTGAGAAGTTAAGGAGAGAGAAAGAATGCTTAGGTTCAGATAAGCCTGGACATATGATGCATGATGATGGGAAGGAAAGGAACACCCATGAAGAGGATAATAAGAATGTTTGGGCACGAAAAAGCCCGGCTTATTTTTCAAAGTTGGTCTTCTCTTTCGTCGATCGATGGGCAACACTAGCTAGTTCTGCTGAGGTAACCCAGTCCTGCCCCATCCCCCCTCACCTCTGCGAGGGCCCTTGTTTTGTTGCGATGTATTACCTCCGCTCCATATTAGTTGACGCTCAGATGTATCTAGACGTAATTCAGTGGTACATACATCCGTTTGGGCGTCAACTAATATGGAACGGAGGGAGTATATATTTTTGGGTCTGGTTGGATCACTTAGAGGGATACACAACTCATTATTCATGATTACTGAAGAAAAAACTTTTGACCCATCTTCCAGGAAACCAAAATCGTCCTGTTAACTGAAGATCAAACAAATCAATTGCTGTCTGCATTTTGGATACAGGCCAATCAGACCGATAACACTCCTTTTAATTATGAGGCCATTGGTCATTCATACAGCCTCACTGTTCTTTCTTCCCGCCTTAAGGTACGAGTTCCTTTTTAAACTGTATCTTTGAAGTTTTCAAGTATATCCATGAAGAGTTTATCAAGTGGTTCTCATTTTCCTCATTTTTGGATAGCATTTTTTCTTTCATAAAGAGATACCTAGTCATGTCAATGGTCTCATCTTCTCTTTATGCTGCAAGAAATATATCCTTGCATACTATGGAAGGTCGCATTATCTTGGCTAAGTAAATTTCCAATGTTGAAATAGTGGTTTTGGTGCTGCAGAATTCAAGCAACAGTAATAACATTCAGTTCTTCCAGTTGCCTCTGTCCCTCCGAAGTATTGCTTTAACTCCAAGTGGTAGGATCTGCATAATGAAATTTATGATCGCCTGTTTCCTCATCCGCATCATGAAGTTGACTTGTCTTGTATGCAATTTTTCCAGGAGGCCTGCCCCCTTCTTGCCAACGGTCTATTTTTTCCTTAGCAACGAATATGCTGGCTTTTGCTGGAAAAGTCTGTCATATTGTTGAATTGGCAGAGTTGCTAAGGTGTTTTACCTCATCCAACGTAAGTACTCAGTTGTAGTACAGAAACTATTAAGATACCTCTGTTTTGTTTTTTCATGTGAAACTTCACTTCAGTTTTCTCAAAAGAAGAAGTATTACCTCTAAGGTGTTTTACATTATCTGGTGTAAGTTCTAGTACATATGCTAATAAGATACTCCTATTATGTTTCTATATGTGAAACTGTACTTCAGTTTTATCTAAATAAAAGTATTACTTCTAAGGTACTCCCTTCGTCCCAAAATAAGTGTCGCTGATTATTTTACATTATCTGATGTAAATCCTAAGTTCTAGTACAGATGCTAATATGATACTCCTATTATGTTTCTTTGGTGAAACTTTACTTTGTTGTTTTTTTCCAAAAAAATGTATACTCGCAGTATTTCTTGTGTGCAGCAACGCATGTGTTCGTATTAATGTTCATTGGTGTGCCTCACTTTAATGGTAGCTTTCTTGTTGCCTTCTGTGCCCGTTGCCCAATTATCTCTTCAATAACTTTTGCTTGTTCTACTCCCTCCGTTCATAAATAAGTGACACTATAGCAAATATAAAATTATCTTCAATTTCCTGAACGTTTGCTGAAAACTATGTTATCAATTTTTTCGCAGATTGATTCTTATCTAAGAATTGGTGAAGACTTGCAACTCTATGTAAGGTTGCAATCGGATCTTGGCAGCTATGGTTCTGAAAGTGATCAAGACGTTGCTAGGTCTGTACTTTCTGATTGCAGAAAGAAAGTGGGGATAAATGATCAGCGAGTGCTTGATGTGATTGCCTGTGCACTTTCAAATTTAACAGAGGTTAGTCCTGTGAGAATGGTTCAATTTTGTTGTCTATTTGCTGTTGACACTGCATTTTATAGCCCTAGTGAGATCATATACTGATGCTGTTGAAAGTGAAGGTAACGTACTATTTCCTAATGTTCTTATAACTGCGTTATCAGATGGACAAGGATGCACTGGCGAAGGAGCTCACAGAGATGTTTACTCCTGAAGAAGTTCCCTTGTTTGGTTCAAATTCAGCCCTTGACTGGGCCAACTTTCATGCGCAGGCATTTTCCGATGAATCCCTTTCTTTTGATGAGGTATGCCACTTACACAAAATGGTCCTTACTAATAGCGCAAAATTCGTTTCCTTCTTGTACTGTACGTTGCCATCATTAAAATGTATTTTTACGTCTCCTCATATGTGTCCTTTTGCATTGTAGGAGTGTTCAAGAACATCTTCGGTAGATGGTGGATTGCACGACTCACCAATTACAAATACTGCTAGCTCCACATCCAAGATTACGCTTCCTCATTCTGCTCCCCGTGTCCTGGGTGTTGGTCAGTTGCTTGAATCGGTGAGTACCTGTTGTGAAATTCAGCTGCTGTTGCACACGGTGACACAGTTTACTACTCGTTTTTTGGCTCATAGTTCTTGTGTGGTACCTGTTGTGAAATACATGTCACTCTCCTGAACTGACTGTATTGCCGTGAACCAATTGGCTTCTCTGTTAGGGTGATTTTTTCTTTTTTGAACACCCAATGTTGAATTCCTGGACCCGCCACCGCACGAGCCCCCTTTCACTTGCTACCTCTGTTTCAGTGTTCACATTTTCTTGTGTGGTAAAGCTAGTATAACCACCGCAAAACATTGTTATACCTTGTCTTTGCATTGGGTTCTGAGTAGTAGACTGTTTCTCTGGTCAGGCGCTGCATGTAGCTGGCCAGGTTGCAGGGGCATCCGTTTCTACCTCCCCCCTCCCATACGGCACAATGACCAGTCAATGTGAGGCCCTGGGATCGGGCACTAGGAAGAAGCTATCAAGCTGGCTCGTGAATGGCCACAACTCGACTCCAGACAATCCTGTGCCAAGCCTTCCCGCTGCCGATCATTTCATCCTTCCTAAGGTATGAAGATTCTACAAAGCCCAACCGGTTTACTCTGAATCTTGTTTTCACTTTTCACTAACAACATTTGTCCAGGTAAATTCCTGTGGCTTCGAGATGAACCGCACGTCATCAGAGCCGTGCTCCATGGTGAAGCTTCCACCGGCCAGCCCATTCGACAACTTCCTCAAGGCAGCTTATCGCACCCCGCAGGAGATGTGATTACCCTTGCCGTCGGAAGAAGTGCTAGACTGTAGTATCTAAGCTTTGAACACTAGTTTGTCTTAATGACTTGGCCTCCTGGCTGCGAGTAACATGGTATCAGTTGTTGTAGCGTATGTATGACCACGTGTATCTATCTATGTACTAAAACGGTTGTAGCGTGTGTGATCATGTGCACCGCAGTACTAGACGACTGTAACCTAGCGTGTCGTGTCTGTTGTCTGTAGCGAGAAGACTTGTGATCGAGACTAATGCCATGATCTGGGCATCTCTCCATTTCTCGTCCGTGTAGTCTAGAACGAGAAACAACAAAGCAAAATACGCCCGCTGAATCGTGGGACGGTGGGAATCACAGATGTGCCGCATCAGGTATCAGCTACTGCATGTTATATATTTGAGCAGCAGTCATTTTTGTGTATATCCTGAAAACGGGTTACACAAGTGCAATGCTTTAAACATTTCACAATTGTTAAAGGTATGCGCGAGTTTAGGACATGCTTCATTGATGTCTAACTTTTCCACAACTAATCATGCGCACACAACATGTGGCCAACATACTGACCACAAGAAGCATACGGCTACCCCTCAAAAAAAAAAAAAGAAGCATACGGCTGACGAAGTGTGACAAAATCCCAATTGTGGCAATAAACTCAACATGTGTAGAAAGAATTGTAGGCGACTAGCTTTAGTTGACAGCTGACTAAGTAATATTTATTTTTTGTTAGAGCGTGACTAAGATTTAAGGTGAGAGGCTTATTTTTTGGACCGGAATATTTAGCAAACGTTAGATTTTTAGGCAAGGCAAATCGAATGTTTTTCATGGCAAATTATGTTTGCCGAGGGTGGCAAGTTTAGTTGGCGAGCATGGCAGCCAGAAAATTGCCATGCTCGCCAACTAAATTTGTCATCCTCACACCAACATAAATTGCCATGAGGAACGTCAGATTTTTAGCATTTCCCTTTTTTAATTTTTGGGGGAGGGTGAGAGGCTTATTTTTCTTATTTTATTTTATTTTATCCTACAAACGAAATGTACAGTACTATCGATCTCCCGCACAGTGTAAGCCCAGGCCCATAGCTAAACAAGCCCACACTCTTACTGCGACCCGCGTCGTCGGGTCTTCTTTCTTCGCCCACAGTCTCACTGCCATCTTCTAAGCACTCTTCTTCCCGGATAAGAAGCGCAGCCAAAGCCCCCCTCCGCCCAAAACCCCCACCGGCCACCGCGAGCTCTCTCCTCGCCCCGCCCATGGCGACCTCCACCGCCTCCTCCTCCTCTCTCACCGCTCCTCTCCTTGGCCCCAAACCTAGCCCCAATCCGCCCCCCAGATCCCTCCCGCTCCTCAGGTTCCCATCTCTCCCGCACTGTTCCTCCCCGCTTTCCAGTTCCAACCACTCTGCCCTAACCATGTCCGCCTCGCAGGAATCGGAGGTGCGCTCGGTCCGTGGCCGCCTCTGCCGGCGGCGGCGGAGTGGGACTGCACGGGGCTGCTCACAGGCGCGGGATTTGGTCGATCAGGTGAAGTCAATTCCACTCGCTTCTTCCCTTTCGCGCTTCCTGTAGTATCCTGTTAGACTCTGACGATGTATTTCCGTTAGCCCGGTTTCAAAACGAAAAGGTGAAGTCAATTCGTGGCAGCAAGTTTTGCAGTTTCGCGTCGTCTGTTTGGTATGCTGGACGAGGTTCAGTTAGGGATCTATAAGGGTGCTGATGGCGCTGTGTGTGTGTGTGTCTGCCAGGGATGACTTGCTGATGCCTAGGTCGCCCTACTTCCCCGTGGAGGCCGCGGGGCAGGAGCGCGGGCCCTCACCCATGGTGATGGAGCGGTTCGAGAGCGTCGTCAGCCAGCTCTTTCAGCACGTACGGGAATACTGGACTCTGTGAAAAATTGTTTCATCTCCTCTGTAGAGCCATTTTGCGAGTGTAATCTGCGGTGTGTGAACATGTGCACGCGTCCTGCTGCAGAGAATTATCCGATGCGGTGGACCCGTGGAGGATGATATGGCCAATGTCATTGTTGCGCAGCTGCTATACCTAGACGCCGTCGATCCTAACAAGGTAAGTTGTGAAAAATGAAACTCTCTCCTTGTGCGCAATTCCTAATTCCTGTCCCAGATGAATAGTTATCTTGGCAGAAGCTTTTTTATGATCTATTCATCCCAGCCTACTTTGGAATTGCTGATCTGTATATCAATTATCAAAGGATGTAGTATGTTGCTTTAGCTTCAAACACATTATAGGGCATCACACTACACACACGTAAGTGGAACTTGTGCCCTAAGTTGTTATTTCAGGTGAAGTAGAGTGGCACTGTGGTTCTTGGATGCGCTTCCTCTATTAAAGGAAAATCACTTGACTTCGTAGGAAACAGTTCTATTTATCTGGACCCTAGTTTGTCAATACCTATGCGACTAAGGTGCTGGAGTTATCAACTGTTACTGGTACTTTTGTATTGCTGCTACATCATAGTGCTTAGGTTTTGAGCTGCCTAGGTAGGCCTGGAATTGAGTATATATTCTTATGATCTTGTGATGATGGTAAATTCAAACAAATGAATCTCTCTTCCTTCTGTTGCAGTTTCTTATTCCTAGATCAGTAGTTTTCTGGTCAGAAGCTTTACTCTAGAATTGCTGATACGTATCCATTATCAAGGGAAGTAATAGCATGTTGCTGCTTTATCTTCAACACATTATAGGGCCTTCTTGCACCATCAGCGGAACTTGTAAACTAAGCCAAGTTATTTCTGGATGTAAAATAGAGTGTGACACTCTAGTTCTTGGATGTGTTTCCTCTATTAAGGAAACTACTTGATGTTGTAAAATAGAGAGGCTTCATTCTGCTTTTCAAGGAATGCGGCGGAAAAATCTCTGGAATTTATCTGGATATCTTTCCTACTAGAATTTATTTGTTAAAACTGTTACTGGTGCTTTTGTATTGCCGCCGTATCTTAGTGCTTAGGTTTTGAGCTGCCTGGGCAGGCCTTAGACTTGGTGATATAATTGGTTCTTGTCAATTTTGTGTAGGATATCATTATGTATGTGAATTCTCCAGGAGGATCGGTGACAGCTGGTAATAACGCACATTCATATTTGTAATCAGTTTATTCTTTCTTAATAACATCAATTTATTTTGTTTCTATTAAGGGATGGCCATATTTGATACAATGAAGCATATCAGGCCTGATGTTTCGACGGTTTGTATCGGACTTGCTGCAAGGTACTCAGTACTGACATCTTTGTGAAATTATTTTATTAGAAAATAGATGATTGGTTCAGATGTAGGATGCTTTATAGTTTGCACATTGCATAAAATCTTTATAATGGGGTTTGATTATTAAAACCAGGGATTCTGTTCCATTTTTCTGGATTTCACCTTTTGAGACAAGTACCTGTCTCTGGGCCTGCCCAGTTTTTTTTTCTTTTGAATTTTTGTTATGCATCTTAATTCTTAAATCATTGATGCATGTTTATTCAGTATAACCTGCCCAGTCTAGGATTTTGGATTGACGAGTCTATCTTTATTGCTGCAAGTAAAATGTTGGTATTTTTGTAATTCTAGATAGCAATTTTTTTTTTGCATGAGTGGATTTTATATCATATATCCTTAATTAAGATGATTAGATTTTCAAATTGTATGATTGTAAAATCTGTCAAGGATGGCAAAATACGAGAGAGCTGCTTCATTGTGCATTTCTCATTGCTGTGGTTTTGTCACTCTGCAAATTTACCTTTTGCAGTATTTAGGTCGTAATAAGCTTGGTCAATATTTACTAGGATACTTATATAATTAAATATGCTGGCAAGGAATATGGATTATTGTATGTAATACAGTTCCTAGTTTTAGGTTTAGCTTAAGTCATAGAACAGTGGTTTGGGTAGAATCAAGAGAGATGATTACCTCCTTAATAAAGAGGAGCTGATTACTTTTTTTCGTGATTACAGTCTCTTGGTAAAACATAATTATTGTCTACAGCTGCAAGTGTAGAACCTTTATTGTTCGTCTCTGGAATATTTTTCCTTTACCTTATTATTTTGTGTTATGTCACATTGATTCTTACACTTTCATTTTCTGTTTCCATTTGCAGTATGGGTGCTTTTCTACTTAGTGGCGGGACGAAAGGTAATATGAGTGACTGCTTACACTAGTACTAGATGTGGTCTACAGCTAGACCGACCTTCGTGCTTCATTGTGTGTACGTAATGCAGGGAAGAGGTACAGCTTACCTAACTCAAGAATAATGATCCACCAGCCTCTTGGAGGAGCCCAAGGACAAGAGACCGACCTTGAGATCCAGGTGAATTACCAAAGTGAAACTATGCCTGCTAATTTTAGACCAGGACAGCATCTCCGTGATGGAGATCTTTATTTTCCCATACATCCTTTGCTGCTTACTTAGTTTTGAGCACCAATGAGCCACTCTTTTGGCTAAGCAGCAAGACATATTGTTGCTTTGCCAGTCCTTTTAATCATGAATTGCATTTCCGTCAGGCCAATGAGATGCTGCACCACAAGGCCAACTTGAACGGATACCTAGCATACCACACTGGGCAGCCCCTGGATAAGATCAATGTAGATACTGACCGTGACTTCTTCATGAGCGCGAAGGAGGCGAAGGAGTATGGCCTTATTGATGGAGTAATCGTGAACCCTCTTAAAGCGCTGCAACCACTTCCAGCTTCCAGTTAGCCATGCCGTGCACAATCTCTGCCGCTCCAAGCATTTTTGTTGTGATCTTCTGGAGCTGTGTTTGTACCACGCTGTTTTCGTTAGTCTGGCTAGATGCTTTTGTAATTTCACGTTCTGAAGCTTTCACAGGTTGTACGGAACAGATGCACTACTAGAATATTCATCGTTTGCGGTAAGATATTTGCACGTGAGTCGACGTTGTTTTTGTTAATTTGACCTTCTTAGGGCTCTCTGCTTGGACACAAATTTTTGTTTGATATGAGGTGAGACTGCGGATCCAACTATTCTTGAAACACACTACTGTTTACGATAAACTCACCGCACAGCAAAGCGGCCAGTTTTGAGTCTCAAAAGAGTGAGTAAATTACACAGAAGTACCACAATTCGGTCATTGGAAGCAGATTGGTAATTTTTACGTGTCAGTATCAACTTTGGGGCGAGACGTTGCAAAAAAGGCTAAAACTGATGTTTATACGTATGACCAGTTGTGCCCGCCTGTCAGGTGCTGGCGTGGCATCTTTTTTACAGAAAACCCCCTTGCTTTATACTTAATTCCATAGATGCCCAATTATTTCGGGAAAAAATGCTCCTATAAGAGCTTTTTTTTTCGTTAGTAATTTCCACCATCGATTTGGACTCGTTTGAAAATTTGCGTCGGTTTGAACGAACAAATAAAAGAAACGAAAATTAAATCCCGCCTTCTTAGGGCTCTCTGCTTGGACACAAATTTTTGTTTGATATGAGGTGAGACTGCGGATCCAACTATTCTTGAAACACACTACTGTTTACGATAAACTCACCGCACAGCAAAGCGGCCAGTTTTGAGTCTCAAAAGAGTGAGTAAATTACACAGAAGTACCACAATTCGGTCATTGGAAGCAGATTGGTAATTTTTACGTGTCAGTATCAACTTTGGGGCGAGACGTTGCAAAAAAGGCTAAAACTGATGTTTATACGTATGACCAGTTGGGCCCGCCTGTCAGGTGCTAGCGTGGCATCTTTTTTACAGAAAACCCCCTTGCTTTATACTTAATCCCATAGATGCCCAATTATTTCGGGAAAAAATGCTCCTATAAGAGCTTTTTTTTTCGTTAGTAATTTCCACCATCGATTTGGACTCGTTTGAAAATTTGCGTCGGTTTGAACGAACAAATAAAAGAAACGAAAATTAAATCCCGCCCAGGATTCGAACCGCCGACCTGCTTTTCCGCAGCGACGCGTGCTAGCCACCCTGGCAGAGCATCGCTCGCAACACAAAGCAGGCGAAGGTCTTTTTATACTAGCTCAGGAACGCTGGGCCGGCCCACCCAGGCCTGCAATTTTTTTTTCGTTTCACACTTACCTGGCGCGCGTGTTGCGGCTCATTCATGGGAGCTCCTAGTCGGCGCTGTTAGGCCGCCGACCTGCTTTTCCGCAGCGACGCGTGCTAGCCACCCTGGCAGAGCATCGCTCGCAACACAAAGCAGGCGAAGGTCTTTTTATACTAGCTCAGGAACGCTGGGCCGGCCCACCCAGGCCTGCAATTTTTTTTTCGTTTCACACTTACCTGGCGCGCGTGTTGCGGCTCATTCATGGGAGCTCCTAGTCGGCGCTGTTAGGCCGGCCCATTTGTTTTTCCCTTTCTGCCAGAAGACTTGAACACTAGACCTCACGAACCAATTCCGGGTGCGCCAACCACTACGCCATGGTAAGACATATGCATATCATCTTCGTCGGCTTCCTTTTATTCTTTCTGCAGCTCGCGAACCTCAGACCCTTCCGCAAACTGTTTTTTTAATCTTTTTTTCTCTTTTTATGTAACGGTTTTGTTCGCCTTCTTTCTTTCCTTTTTTGCTAAATACGTGCACCTTTTGAAAAAAAATCAAAGATTTTTTTTTCAAAATGCACGAGTTTTTTAAAAATTTGGAAAAAAAATCATTGGTTTTTTTAAAAGTTCATCAAATTTTAAGAAATTTCATCGCATCTAAAAAATGTTCATCAAATTTGAGAAAATTTCATTAAAACTGGAAAAGCTTCATCGAATCTGAGAAAAAGTTCATCCAATCTGAAAAAAATCATCAATTTTGAAAAAAAACATCAGATTTGAAAAAATAGTTCAGCGGATTTCAAAAAAAGTTCATCAAATTTGGAGAAGTTCATCAGATATGAAAAAAAGTTCATCGGATTTCAAAAAAGGTTTGTCAAACTGATTACATAATTTCTTATTTTATACTGAACATTTTTAATGCATGATGAACTTTTCTTTAGAAATGGTGAACATTTTTCTTATAATATGAACGTTGAACATATTTTGAATGCAAATTGAATATTTTTGTAATATATGTTGAAATATTTAGCTCCTTAATAATACTAATATGTAATCGCAAAAAATATATGTATTAATATTCATGATTAAAAAAAACAGTAAACCAGTGTGCAGCCTCGCTGGGCCAACCGCCGGCCCAACGTGTTTGGGCTGGTATAAAAACTGTCTAGCCTGGAGTACGTCGAGAGCGCTGCCGTGGCCGAGTGGCTAGCGCACTGCGCTGCTGAGCCATGGGTCGGCGGTTCGAATCCTGCGCTCGATTCAATTTTGTTGTGTTTCATTTATTCGTTTAAACCGACGCAAATATTCAAACGAGTCCAAATCGGTGGTGAATATTACGAACGAAAAAAAAGGCTCTTATAGGAGCAATTTTTCCGAAATAATTGGGCATTTATGTGATTACGTACAAAGAAAGGGGGTTTTCTATAAAAAACATGCCACGTCGGCACCCGCCAGGCGGGCCCAACCGGTCAGTTTCCCCGTCAATACGTATAAACAACAGTTTTAGTCTTTTTTAACGTCTCGCCCCAAAGTTGGTATTGACACGTAAAAATTACCAATCTTGATACCAATCTGCTTCCAATGCCCTAATTGTGGTACTTCTATGCAATTTACTCCAAAAGAGTGTTATGGATCCAAGTCCAAACTGTCATCTGCCCAGCGTGATCTCTTCTGGTTTGGAGAAGCCATCGGCACATGCTACGCTTTTCCTAATTCTGCGGTGAAAGCACTCCCTATTTTTTTTATTAATGAACGAGTCACTTAATCATTTTCAGTTGCTTATATTTTCCTGAAGAAATTCAGCAATTATTTGCAGATAACCAAGAGGCCCTTTCATCCAGAACAAACGTTACAACTTAAGGCACACACGCACACATATAATGAAATATCATGTATTCCATCAGTGCTACATACAGTAGGGTACGGGTAGTACCACCATCTCACTTCCAACTTCATCTATAGCTAGACAACAAACCATTTACATTTCTTAGGGGGTTTATATAAGATATATGGTAAGGATAACATAGCCGCTCAGACGCATAATGCAGGCGCTCCTCTTATATCATCAACTTATGCACAAACCTACCTAAAACTTGCCCTCAATGTAACCAGCCAGACCGTTGATTTTGAAGAACTTCTTTATCACGAGGGCCATGATAGCAAGAGTCAGCCCAAATGCAGCCAGCGTCAGCAATCTGTCATGCTTTGGCTTCTGGATTGTGACGACCGGGTTCTGCGGTGCTGTAACAACTCTCGGACCGCTGTCCCTGGGGATTACATCTGACTGAGCCCTGGCAATGTTTTCTGCAACTTCTGACTCTGACTCAGGGTTTGGAAGGTCAGTATTATTAGCAGAACCAGAGCTGCTGCCAGAAGTGTTGACACCTTCTGCTGCCTTGACAGCATGTTCACCAGAAGTGTCGGGTGCGGTCTTGTTAGTCTCCTCTTCAGAGCCAATTGTCAACAGTTGAGGAATTGGTGGAGCTTTACTTAGCATTTGCTCATGGATCTGTGTTTGCAACAGTTCTTTGTGTCAAAGAAACAGAATGGGGCGTATGTAAGTTCTTTGAAGTGTGTCTGGAATTTTACCTCGTCAATTACACTTTGGCGTTCTGGGGAGCCGAATTTTGGTGGTGTTTCACGTGATTTGATGGCGAGCGCTCGTTTATCTTCCTTTTTGTAGTCCAGTGAACCCAATGCCCCACCAGGATTTGTTGGCATGAAAGCAATCAATGCTACTAGTGCTGTGCGTACTGCAACACGAATAGTTTTGGCTCAGCTGTGTATACATCATATGAACAAGAAAAACAAAAAGAAGACACATAATTATATAACACACTTTTAACAACCAAGGAAACTAAATTGGTGGAAAAATCATGAAAAATAGTCATTTATCAGTTCACGTATATGGTGATAAGATCCTCCAGAAGGAATAATGGTGAATTCCTATATGTAAAATTAGTAATCATTTAACCTGCTCTGGAGTCAAGACTAGACAATAAATGAAGACATAATTCCTTCCCCAACAAAATGTGAACAAACTTAGAACATAGATATTTTGTGAGACATGTTTGCAATCTAATCTTACAAGTCAGATGTTGCTTGTAATAATCAAGGTGGTTCAGTGATAAGTAGTTCCAAGATTGCTTGTTTCACAACAAATAAGTATACATGACATATGAGGATGAATATGTTCCTCCTTTGGCTTGATTATAGCGCTAAATACCATACCACAGGGCAATCACACAAAGAACCATCTCCTTGGCATCATGGTCATAGTGTACGTAATGTTTTATAGTGTATACTACGAGATGATGTCCATCATATAAAGATACATATGATAGCATGCAATATCCGCAATGTTCATGATATCGGTAACTGGTACCATATGGGTTGGGTGCTGAGTAGGAATAAATCGGCAAATCACCCTATTAACTGAATTTATCGGTAGGTTAACTAGGGCCATATCTATATACCCTAGGCTACATAGCAACATGCAATGTACTAAATGGATAAATATGCTACTGTACACATAATGTAGCAAAGGAAAGTGTTATAAAGCTGCAAATTAAAAACAAAACATTAATGTGTGCTCTAAATTAGATAGATGTGCACATCAGTACATACTATTACTAGATCTACATAGGGGAGATGCTCAGCATCAGCATGGCACAGCGGCTGCATCTACAGATGTAAACTCCTCTCCTCTTACAGCAGTACATACTATTACTAGATCTACAAATGATAAATGTCCAGCATCAGCACAGCAACAGCAGCAGTTTTGGGCCAAAAAAAGTGCTTAACAGGCCCAGCCAGTTAATGGCGCGAATAGGGCCTATTCATATCAAGGAGGGGTCCGAGTAGCGATTAACTGACAGAGATGCCGATTTACTGACCGATATTTGGAATATATCAGGTTCTTGTTTTAAGTTCAAAGGATGGCAGGGCTTATCATAGCAATTAACTTCTTTATATGCTCATTACTAGTCTACTAGACATAGTCGTGTATTAGATAACCAATGAAAAAGGCAACTGTTACATTAAAATAACAATCACATGCCAGATGCCTCTGATATAACATTATAACAGCATTTAAAACATGCTGTAAAACAAACTAACTGCATTTGAGTTGTACTTTATTTTAAGAACTCACTTGAGCAGCCATTTTACAAACAAATGAGCACTCACCACTCCATGATGGCTGCCAATGCTCGGGGTGGTAATTTGATATGTTCAAACATATCTTCTTCTGAATCTCAAATCTTCCACTTGGCTGCAGCACATATATAAAAGGGGAGAAGAGAAAGCAAGATTCATCAACAGCTCATAGACAGCATATGCTCAACTGAGGCAGGGAAATTAGGACACAGCGATTTCAGACCGTGAGCAGCATGAAGGATGGTGGCTTGAACGGGTAGTCTGAGGGCAACTGGATCCTTCCGTGGTAGATTCCTCCCTCAAATTCGCTGTCTCGAGGCCCCAGGATAGCAAATTGCCACTCAAAAATGTCCTCCTACTCGGGCACAGGCATTGTAAATCATATGAGGCTATCAATGTCAATGAAATTGCGGCAATAAGTTAAGCCTAATAACCTATAACAATTTCACGCACACTCAGTTGCTCAAGATGTCTAGAATCTAAGCAATATCTGCCGCTACAAAGGATAGATAATGTTGATGATCAGACTACAATAATTACACGTAATGCAATGAGATCTAGAAGAAAATACAGACACGTCTAAATTTCCGCACCCCGGAAACGCCATTAAAATCAACGCCATCTAACTGATAATCGATTCAGACCTAAAAGACGAGATCGGATAAAACTCAAGGTAAAGGCAGGAGAAGGGATCGGGATTGAAACCTCGAGAGGCAGGGCCATGAAATCGGGGGAAGGATTAGACTGCATCTCCTTCACCTCCTGCAGGATCCGCTTAACCGCCGGGTTACTCCGGTTGAACTTGCCTGCGGCCGCCATCGCCTCCGCCCCAGGAAACCTGTAGACTCGCCGCCGCCGCTTACCGGGGCAAGGATGCGCCTTCGAATTGTGA